AAAGGGGAAGGGAAGGAAGGATGGTGCCCGCCACCACATTAGCCCTGCTGCGGGGGCTCGAGCTCCTTGGACCGCCGCTCCAGGTCGTCAAGTGACCGGATCGGCAGCTGGGTCAGATACTCAATCGCCTTGGCGTGGACCTCGAAGAGGTAGGGGATGCGCGGGGGCGGCGGTCCCGGGTAGTCATATGAAGAATCGTCCTCGAGACTGGTGACCCCATTCCCGGAGGAGTGGGGCGCCCCCCCTCCGGCGGTGGTCGCCGAGGAGGCCGGCGGGAGGCCGGCCGACGGCGAGGGCGAGGCCGTCCGATCGTCGGTCCCGGCCTGCGTGCCGGCAGCAACCATCGGCCCGGGATACGGGTCATCCAAGCCCGGACGCGCCTCCCGGCGCACATATGCCGCCATATTCCGGAGCTTCTCGAAGTTGATCAGCCCCCCGGCCGAGTCATCCGCCGACAGGACCACCCGCAGGGGGTTGCCATCATTGTGGAAGGTCAGGTCCTTGGTCAGGACCGGCAGGAAGGGGATGGCCGGCGCGCGCAGGCGCGACCGGGCCTGCCGGTAGTTGCGCATATTTCGCGACGGATCCAGCAGGCTCTCCAGCTCCTGGTACTGGCGCCGAACGGCGGTGGTCTGGCCGGCCCACGTTCGCCGGAGTCGCGACACCGGGTAAGACATGAGCCCCTGCGTCAGGGACAAGGCCGTTTGGAGGTTCCCCTGCTGCAGGCACACATGGGCCACCTTGATCAGCCGGCGCATGACCTTCACCCGGCGGTCCAGGTGCGCCTCGGCCAGGATCTCCGATGCCACCCAAAGGATTTGCTGGTTCGACCGGCGAATGGCCCGGATGAGATTCGGGCTGGGGAGCGGGCTGCGCGACCGCGGGCCAAGCAGCAGCGGCTGGGCGATGTTCACCCCGGCCGCCAGGACGGTCCCCAGGTCCAGGGCATCACGCTGCATGGCGGCCGCCGCGCCGATCGTCGTTTCGGGGATCTCCACAAAGAGGTTGGCCTCGAGGGAGACATCCAGCGCCGACTTCAAGTCCGTCTGATTGCGCGGCTTGCCGTTGAAGTTCCAAATGAAGTCCAGGAACTCCACATCGTGGATGGCATCAAAGAGCTTGAAGTCCAGCATGGACAGCTGTTCGGCCACTTGCCAGGAGTGCAGCGACACGATGAAGCCCGGCTGCACGGTCGGCGGAGCAGACGGCTCGGCAAACATGGGCAGCGGGCTGTAATCGATGCTCAGTTGGTACGACTGCCCGACGCAGGGTGGATCGGAGGGGGGATGGGGTCAGGGGGGGGGGGGCGGCGGGCATAGATTGGTGGAGACCCAGTGAGGAGGAGGAGGAGGCGGGAGTGGAGATCAGTAAAGGAGGTGGACAAAGAGAACGTGGGAAGCACAACGACCGAGGGAGAGAGAGAGAAGCGATGAGAGGCGATGAGAGGCGATGAGAGGCAACCGGAGAACAGGTCCGCCGCATGATGGATGACGCCCGTACCTTCTCCCGGATCAGCTTGATGTACTTCTGGCGCACGGTCAGCCACTCCGGGCGGCTTTGCCCGGATAGTTCCAGCGCACTGAGGAATGACCGAAGCCGACGATCCAGCGGCGAATCGTACACCGAGAAGTCGTGGAAGTGCCCGGACAGCCAGAGCTCCAGGAAGTAGAGGATCTTTACGCGGACAATGCGAATGGACCGCCGATATTGGGCAACGTCCTCCTCGGTGGCATCTTCCGGTGGGGAGGCATTGAACCGAGCGACCAGCATGTCAAACAGGTCGGCCGGGGTGATAAATGCCCGGAAGGTCATGAGGAAGGTCCGGATGAGGCCGGCATCGGCCACCGGGTGCAGAAGCGACGGAAGGCCGCCCTCCTCGGACACAGTGCGCCCAGACTCGGCGAAGCCGGCGCCGGAGGCCGAGGTGTCCCGGTCGTCGGTCATGCGCTCGATCAGCTGGGCCTCGGTGGCGAGGGCCACGCGGGGGTGATCGCGGAACATGCGCAACACCAGCACCTCCCGGCCGGACTCCGACACCGAGAAAGTCGAGTACAGCCGAGTGCTGGACCGGATCAAGTGGATGCGCGAGTGCGAGCTCAGGTGGTAATCGGCCACCGTGCGGTCCAGCTGCACGGCCACCGCGGCCCCGCCGCCGGGGCCCACACCCGACGGCAAGAAGAGCGTGTGCTTTTCGAAGTTCAGCCCCTTGCGAGAGCACACATCCGACAGAACCTCCTCCATGGTGGCCGACGGACTGACGGCCACCATGGTCGAGTGGGAGGCCGCCTGAGAGGTGCTATTCTCCACGGCCGACATGAGCATCGAGCTTTCCATGTGCACGCGCAGGAAGATCAGCTCACTGGCGCCGGAACTGCCGGCAATGGTTTTGCGAGTGTGTCAGAGGCCACGAGATGCATGGATGGGAGGCGAGCGCCAATTGGGCGGAGGGGGGGAGGGGGGGGGGGGGGGGGGGGCAGAAGAGCAACGAGCAACATACATGGAGGGAGGCAGAGCACCGAGCGACGCGGAGGAGGCATGCCCCGAGACCGGGGCAGCCGGGCTCGAGGGAGATGCGCAGGAAGATGTCCCGGTGGAGGAGGCGTCCACCACCCGCTGCAGGGCCTCGGAGCTGCTGAGCGGCACAGCAGGCGGCGGGTGCTTGGGCACCGAGATGGACATGGACCGGGGCCGGGCAACGGACCTCCGACGAAGGGTCTGGCTGTTGAACGTGGTGCCGGGATCCTTGGGCCTTTGCATATACCCAGGCAGGGAAAGCCGCCGTGAAGATCGTGCGTCAGGGCGCATGAAGGGGAGGGGGAAAAAAAAGAAAGAAGAAGGCACCAAGGGCAATGGAACCGGAGGGCGGGCCGGGGGAGGGCACGCACTGGGACAGCTTGTTCAGCTCCAACGTGCTGAGGCCATGGAAGATGCCGCCCTCGGCAAACTCAGACTCCGGGATGCCAACATCATCGCCCATGGTGCCGGTGGCAAAGCTGACCACCGGCCGGGAGGCGGACCGAACCAGGTTCGAATTGCCCCGGCGAGGAGGGCTGTCCAGCGACGACAGTGGCGGCAGTAGGGTGGTCGGCGAGGCGGAGAACTCCTCCGCCCGGCCGGTGTCGGCCCCAATGAGGATGGTCTCCTCATCGTTCAGGGTGATGGATGGGACGGAGATGCAGGAATCCAGCGAGGAGGACCGGTCCGGCTGCGAGGCGCCCGTCGGCGACCCGAGGGTCGGGCTGTCCGGCAGCGGGGGGATCGACGGCGAGGCGTCCTCCACCGGGGCCAGATAGGTCATGGAGGAGAGAGCCGGCCGCCGGGGCGAGCTGGTGCCGGTGGCCATGCCGGAAGAGCCGCCCACCGTGAGGGAGTAGACAGCATCCGGCGGGCCGGTGGCCCCGGCACAACCGGTGTTCAGCGGAGGGAGCGAGAAGTCGCTGGCCATGGAAAGGGTGGCCAGGCCGGTGTGCGAGGCCGACCGCCGAGGAGACCGGCCATTGGGCGGGATGGCTGTGACAGGAAGTGCATGGTGGCTGAAGGCCGTGGAGATCGGCTGGCCCGGGGCGCTGGCCACCGGCACCGATGGACTGCCGGACTGCGGAGCCCCGGCCACCAGGGGGGGGCTGCCGCTGGACCCACCGCCAGAGGCCTCGGCCACCGGGACACCCCCGGGCGGGGGCATGATCCCGCCGCTGGGCGAGACGGCCGCCGATCCGGGACCCGAGGCGCCGCCCCAAATTTGGGAAAACTTCTCTCGAACGCTGACGCTCAGGGCCCGGCGTCGGCCCGGCTTCTTGGGTGATAGCTCGCCCGAGGAGCTGGGGCCGGACACGGTCAGCAAGGAGCCGCTGGATGATCCGCCAGTGGCGCCGGCACTTGACAGGGGGACTGGACTGACGGCGGACGGATGGCGCGATGCGCCGGAGCCCGGAGGCACGGGCGACGGGGTGGCCGAAGGGCCACCCTGCGCGCTGAACGGGCTTCCTGGGGCGGAGGAATTCGCCTCAGTGCCGAAGGGAATGGGGCCCGGCCCGGGGCGCAGGACACGCCGTAGGGTCCCGGTGGAGTTGGCCGTCCAGGACATGTGCTGTTGCTGCTGCTGCTGCTGCTGCTGCTGCTGCTGCTGGTGCTGCTGCTGCTGGTGCTGCTGGTGCTGCTGCTGCGAAGACGAGGATTCCACCGAGGTGGTGCGCGAATTGTGCCCGCTGTTGACAGCCCCTCCGAGGAAGACCTTCCGACGAATGCGCCTCATGCGCACTTCCAGCAGGAGTTGCTCAGGCGGCTGGTGATACTGGCGGAATTGCCAGGTCAGGTCCAGTTCGATGGGCCCAGCACCGGCGCCCAGCCGGGGGCTGCTGGGGACCGGAGTCCGGACGGGGTCCTCGTTGTCGGCACTGCTGGTGCTCAGGCTCGGCGAGACGCTGGCCAGCAGATCGGTCGTGGTGGACCCCCGGCTGGACGACCGACCACTGTTGAGAGAGATGGCCGAGGGCCGGATGAGGGCCCCCTCGAAGGTGTAATCGCCGAAGGAGAGCCCACGACGGGTGCACAGGCGCCGGAAGACCTCAAGCAGGACCTCCTCCTCGCGAACTTCAATGACCGTGGTGTCCAGGTTGGGGAGAATCACCCGGAGGAGGGAGGTCCCAGCGGCAGGTGGCGCATGCCCCGGGGCGCTGGCCGCCAGGGCCGATGTCGGAGAGAGGCTGCCGGAGTGGGAGTCCAGCAGCAGGAGAGGCTGGCTGTGGTGGTCATCATCGTGGGGCAGAACCGGGAGCGACTCCAGCAAAGACCCGCAGTCGGTCTCGAGCGACTGCAGCGCGGTGAAGGAGACGCTTTCATCGGAGAGCTCTCGTGTGCAGAGGCTCACCAGGGAGGGGAGCGACCCGGACGAGAAAGACCCGGTCATTTGGGAGGCTAGAGCGGCCTCCATGGCTGTAGAGATTGGGGCGGCCGGGCTGCCCGGGCCGTCTCTGTCAGGGGAGGGGCTGAGGGGGAGGGGGAATGGGGGAAGAGG